TTTGGAGAGATGTAGGCTATATATATCTGTCCTACGCCAAACAACTGAATAAACAGAAGACGTTCACAGGTCACTGTTGCAGCATGTTTATAAATGGGCATTCGGTTTCTACAGAGAATACGTCACACGTCTTTGGAGCGTCTAAAACTGGGATATTTCACACGTATGACTATATTTATAGGAAATTTGTGATTTAAATGCGTACCTAGTATTATTAATGTGAAATTAGAGGGGGGGGGGTTGTGGTGGACTGAATAGCCGAGCCAGATGTATAAAATATTCTGCCGGTAATGGTATTCTGGGTTCTAACACTATGTGGGATTACAGGCAAATATCTGAACCGCCATGAGAACTTCAAATGTTGTAGGCAAAATTTTGTTCGTTTTGTTAAAAAAATGGCAACTTTAAGATCCAGGAGAAACAGGAAGAATATAGTTTATTATTCAGATCGTAGGGCGGTAGAACGTGAGATAGATTTAAGTGGTTCAGGAGAGCGTAAGATGGTGGGTTCTGACACTAAACGTTATTGAACATTCAAATTATTCTACCACATTTCCAGAAAATTTATTATTTAGTTTAGATTTTTGAAAATCACTGGGCTTTTATGTAACGTAAAGAAATATAAAATCAATCCCCCGCCATCTTGCATTGTGTTGTAACGTTACGTAACAGTGATGCTACTGAAATAGAAGTCCTCACTCCTACCCTGTCTACACACAAATGACGTAAGCTTTAAGAAATGTAATTTACAACATGCACATACGTGTTTCCAAACGACAACAAAGAACTTATGCTTATAATATATTTATTGAAATGACGAAAAATATAATAATTATACTGCCATGACACGGTCTCCAGAGCCTCACAAAACTGTTTTAAGTTCGTACTCAAATAGGGGATGTATTATACAAGTTACACACTTTTCAAATATGCAGGCGAACTCACCGAATTTCGCTGGGATGATGTCAGGGTCCTTTTCGTCACCGACGCCCTCCCTCCCTCCGGAGAGCCCTAGGTCCTTATTAGTAGGCGCCGAGCGGAGCAAAGAGGCGCTGTTGGGCCCCGGGTGCTTCTCGGCGTGCGGCTGGCAGCCATCTTGGTCTCTGCCAGAACGCGACCGTCGCAACTTCACCACGACGAGGAGAACGACGGACAGAAGCGTGAGAGCTGCCCCCACGATCATGCCCAGAATGGGCGATATCGGCAGTTCGCCATCCGATGCTGCAAAAGGAAAGTTGAGCTTCTCAAGATTTACACTTAAAACCCAACCCGAACCACGGCAGTATTTATAAGCTCAGTGACATCTACCAGGGTGACGACACGTGTCACGGGGGGGAGGGGGGGAGAGTCTATTACACGTGACTGTACCTGCCTCTGATTTAATTTTTGTGCTGTAGTACGTGACTATTTTGTCGCATTTTAAGATGAGTCTAAAGACGTGGGTTTTAACGTTTTGTACTGGAATAATGTAGTTTGCGTCAAAGTCAAACGTCAAGTTATTGTGAAGATGATAATAAACCTTCAGACTCCAAAACAGGCAGGCAATTTGTTGACCATCTGAGCTATTATATGTTCTCTAGAACTGCTCCAAGGAGTCAGATATTATTTTTCGTAATTGTGTTTTTCTCGTTAATTAACCACACGCCATGTATAAATCTGAATACTATGTAAACATGTACGTATGTGTGTGTATGAATATATGCATATGCGTAGAATTTCATTTTATGGCGTATAACATATTACATTCGAGCTATGCGTTTGATCTACAAATTGACATTTGTAGATTCTGAATATCTCATAAAACTTTCTTAGGATTATCAACATTATCAGCATTCTATGCTCCAGCAAAGAATTTATTTCCAACAAACTTCCTGCTACTGATCAACACCGTCTACATATTCACTCCCACCTACATCACTCAACTGGAATAAATATCAAGGGAAATACACGAAAAAGTTCAGAAATGGGACAGGCCAAATCGGAAAACTTCCTTAAATTATACGATGGAAAGAAATAAACTCCGATTCTGACCCGAGAAGAACCTACAGCGTCTCATTATCGGGAAGGTTCGACGTTTATATGTGCAGTCTCCGTAATGACGTCACAAGGAGGGGAGTCCTCGCCGTCTGTCCGTCCAATTCATAGAATTTTTTTTTCAATATACGAGACCTGTAACGCAAGCTTCTTTAGTTACATCGTCCAACTGCCGTCATTAGGACCATCGATTTCCGTTGTGTTTCCAACAGGGAGCAGAACGGAAATGCTTCTTGAGACACGTTACCAAGTGCCGTTTCATGCATGGGAAATTATGGTAAAAAGGTGACTGCTCGCTCACTTGAACATGGATAGCACTTGAATTTCTGATGCCACTGGGTCTCAGGTGTGCATACTCCGTCTATTTTCATGAATAATGCAAAATGTCAGAAGTAACAATATTTAAAATGTTATGAAATCCCCTGGGATTCATTCGCTTTTCATGAACAACTTAATGCATTTGACATTTCGTCATATGGTCAAATATTTTACAGCATTAAAATGAAAACAGTTTTTAAAATTAATCGGTTACATCAAATTTTTAATTTGTAATTTTTTTACCGCAAATTAGTTGCATAAAACAATTAATAAATTTGATGTCTTTTCCTCCCCTTGGTCTACACATTTCTTTGTTTATTCTGCTATAATTTCTGTACCAACGTTTTTTCGACTCTTTACTTCTAATCTTTGAACAACTAAAAATGTTTTATAATAGAATTTCCTTTTTTTTAAAAAAAATATTCCCGTTTCCTCATTTTTATACTTATTTCTTTCCTCTCTTTGTGGACTGTACCGAACGGTCTGGGTCCTATGGACATAGCAGTGAACGTTTGGATTCCATAAAATACGAAAATTCGTTGATAAGCTAAGCTACTACCACCTTTAGAGGAAAGACCCCTCATTATGAGCATAATTAAAGTTAAGTACACCATCGGAGTACAAGTTTCCATTAATTTGTGTCTGTGATGGAGAAAAAGTGGGTTTAATTTGAACCGAAACATTTATGATCTTCTACAGTTCAAGTTAATCGTACTTAGAGCAATAACTTTCTATTCTTAGTGCAGAATCTCGGAACTACAGGCACGTGGCAGAAGATCGAGGCCTTTTATCGACTTTTCTCTCATCGCTTGCCTAGTCCACTGTACCCTTTCTCCTCGCCCGTTTTTGTGTTTATAATATGTACTTCTTTTGTATCTTACAGAAAGTACATCCTACACTGCAATGCAAAATTTTTAGAAACACCTAATACTACCACATGGTTGTTTGAGTGTTATATACAGAGACTTTAATAAGTTTACAGTCATTAAGAAATTTACTACCTTCAATGGACCCCAAAGATTTACAAGAACACGTCACTGGAACACATCAGTTAAAGACTTACCACAATCCTTATTGTTTCATGTTAAATGTAATATTATCTTTCTGTCTACACCTTTGTCTCGTAAGTAATCTCTTTCCTTCAGGTATTTGTAGTGAAAGCTTATCAATTCAGATCTGAACCTCGCGTAAATCAGGTGTTATATTTAGTAGAAAAAAAAATCACTGTAATTCTTATCCGCCGATACAAAATTTAACCGAAATTCGTACAATATTTCTGAGACTAAAGAATTCTGAAGGTCTCGATGGTTCGTAATTATTTTTCTTACCTTGTCAAGAAAGATGAAAGATAATGAACAGGTTTGATTCAGGAGATACACTTCGAACATAAAACGAAACTGAAGAGTGAAGTAATCCATGGGGCCCCTTTGACTCCCCCCCCCACTTTATTGTCACCTGACTGAACACGCAGTTCAGTATCCTGTGACAAGGATTTATGAAAGCTTACTGCTGATTCATGAGCTTGTCACCAGAGAGCACGCCGATCGATTTGAGGTAGAAAACTAGTGATAAACACTTTGCCCTTTCTATCATCCATTTTTTTTGCGTGTTATTATTGAAGTGTATTCTGGCATGTATTTCCTCCCTAAAGCCTATTTTTTCATGGCAGAAGACAATGGCTAGTCCTTAGAATATTTGCTTGAGTTCAATTTCTCATTCTGTCAGCAGCAGAGAAAACCAAGACAAATGACCGTAATATGAGATAACAAATCGCCACACCCAAAATGTACGAATTCTAGTCTAATATCCGGCAGTATCAGGAAATGACGGTTTTAGTAAGAAGTGAGGAGGGGGGTTGCCAAATACGGCTGTCTCATTACAATTCATGAATTATTTTCACTGGAATATATCAAATGGTGCAACACCGAAGTAGTTTTTATCGAAACTTATTTTATTGACATCGACATTAAAATTTGTGATCAGAATTTATTATCTTTTTATATCGAGGTAAGGTCAATCATTGCGTCGGAAAATTAAGAACAAAAATTAAACTTCACTTCACACGATTCCTTGTCTGATCGTATATCGAGGTAAGGTCAATCATTGCGTAGGAAAATTAAGAACAAAAATTAAACTGAACTTCACATGATTCCTTGTCTGATCATAATTGTAATTTTTTAAATTACTATTATATGGAATGCTTATCAAAGCTAAAACCCATAAATGCATCTTATTTTTCCACGTTTATGAGATAAACTGAAAAAAAAAACGCTTGTTTTTACGTAAAGTGATTTTTTTTAAAAAGATCGATGTGAATGAATCGATTTTATTTTTTGCGAAATTCTCGATTATAATCGACCCGATAATGTTTAAATCTAATTATTGCTTACAGTCGAACATGATAACGCTCTACGTCACATCATCTGCGAACTAACACGCTTTTTTACACTCATCAATATCATCAGTACCGCGTGACATTCACAAACTTTAAACAAAAATCACAATTTATTTTAATATACGATTAATAGAATAATATGCTGGAAAAAACATAGAATATAGACCATATATCTCATTAATCTCTGTATTTTGGATGCGAATTTTTTTTTTTGAAGGGTAGGCTGAACACTTAACGAAATGCAAGGAAATGTTTCATACTTCGACGTAATTAATTCTGTTCGAGACTTGTACTCGTAAATTAGCACAAGGTTAATGAAACATGCAAAGTATTGTAATAAATACGTATCCTTCGCTCAAATAAAACCCTGACTAATCAATATATCCCTAGTTTATACAACGACACCTAATCAACCAAATGAGTTATGTTGTGTCAAATGGAAAATTAATTATGAGTTATTAATTCAAAACATTACGGAAGGTAGAAGTCTATTTTAAAGCGTGTCCATGATTCTTTAAATACAAAGTTTACCGTTGACTATCATCGCAGGTGTCTAAGAGCGATCTGGCTTTTAAACCCTCGAATACTAAGGTCACTGGTTCGAATACTGCTCGGGGCATGAAATACATGCATTTTATGTGTTTTGTTGTTCTCTGTGACAAGGGGCATTTGCGACCAGCCAAAACACACAAAGCTGATCATAATAAGGGGAACAGACGAGAAAAAAGTAATCTATGGAAGATAAAGGTGAAAACCAATTAATGTTTCAGCTAAACTATGTAGCCAGTAGAAGGATGAATAGTATATGTTGTCTGCGTTTTGTTCGCTGAGTTCGTTGTTTCTGAGATAATAACTGTCAAACATCCAAGTGCAATTGACGTACATAAAACGTTATATGCTGTCCAGTTTGACAGCTTTGTTGCATTCGGACAAAAGCGGGAAATGGTGATGAAACGCTCCTGTTTCAGGGCGCCGCTCCATAAACGCTACACGACTTTTTCGACGACGTATTCCGTCCTTGCAGACAACAAACCAGACACTTTTCATTTGCGCTGCCTTCAACTCAGTTATGCTGTTACGCGTCCCGCCATATTGTTTGAATTCAGTGTTGCAGGTAATGGTTCTCTGTGACAGGGTTCACGGAACAGACAAGGCAACAAATCGACATTACACAGTGGTTCCCAGACTGTGTTCCATGTACCCCAGATGTTCCACAAGAGGATTCCGAGATTTGCGTAATAAATGCCAATGATGATGTATTCTAAAAATCGGACTGTAGTTCATGGGGCAAGCTGTAGGTGGCGAATTGGATTTTATGGTGCTGATTGGCAGCACGGAAGGGCGCGTTGCTACCCAAGGCTACATAAATCTTCGAAACCATGAAGATGTCAACTAAAATATTTGCCGAAACGTAGGATAATTCTCAACATTAGACGCGGATTAAATTTAGTTTTCATAGACAAGAAATTGTGAAAGGCCACATTCGGCCGCAGATTTAAAATTTATCTGCCACTGGTATAGATAGACAGGATTTACGGAGAAATCTCTTTTCTCGCAGAAAACAGAGGAATGAGAGATATTCAATTAGCCGAAGCTCTGAATGGAGTTTATAAAAGTTTAAAGCACATCTAAATTACGAAGAGCCGCTACCTGCAACGAAAGGTAACACAGCCCATTAATTTCTTCAAGCGACTGGAAAATTAAAACGTACAGTGACTCCACGGGTAATAAAATTCTTCCGTTCGTTTCTGGAACCGTTAGTTTTGGAAACAGTTCGATCAGTGTTAGAGTATATGTGTTAATCGCAAGACGGTTAAAGACCACAAAGTTTTCAGACGAATACAAAATTACTTGGCGCGTGTCGTGTAACACGTACAAACACTTGATTTGGCAGTAGATTTAACTACGGTTTGAGCAATTCAGACTAAACAGTATTTAACTGGAAGTACCAAAGAAAAACACGGAAAGCACAGGTCAGGACAGACTGTCTACCGGTTGAAATTGGAACCCGGGACCTTCCAAATACGAAGCTAGAATGCGGAACATGTAACCGCGTCATTTATTACAGGTGTAAAAAAACTTAAGTTATTCATGTATTATCTTTGTTTAATTGTCTGAGTGCAATTTTTAATATTAATATCCAATCAAGAGATCTCACACGGAGTTAGTCACGTTCAAGTTTTCCTATCAAAATTGCGTATCAATTTCATACTTCCCTAATTCAAGGTAAATGTGATTTTATATCGATGCCACATTTCATATCGAAAATCTTCGACCATCTAAGAAGATCTGAGATGTTACTCGCCCCTTTGGCCTGTTAGATTAACATCCTTTTTAATGTTATCTTACTACGTACGCATTTCTATCCAAAATAATCTCGTCTCTTGAGATTTTTCTACGAGCCGACGAGGCAAGTTGTGTGCCCTGTCATAATTCCATCTTGCTAACATTTGTCAAAAGATGGCGCCATAATTTAGTAGTTATATGTAGTCAGTTTTTGTTTATCTTAAGTACAAGGGGGTATTTGTTGTTAATGATTTCGCTGTCATGAAACAGCCCGACAATTTTCACATAATTTGTGGCGTAAGGCTTGACAACAAGAATAACACAGTTTTCATATCGACGTATCGAGGTATCGATCCTCACTCACCTGTTCTCTTCTCGGCGTCTCTGAAGGTCACTTCTTCCAGCACGATGCCAGCACTGCGACCCTTAGAGTTGACTGCAAACACCGCGATGCGGAATGTCACGTCCGGTTCTAAGTTCGCGAGGAAGAAGTTTGGATGATCGGGACTGGTGATGTTGCAGCGGGGATCTCCCGAGTCTGCAGAATACAGCTCCAGTAGAAAGTACTGAGGCAAGCCGCCATCGAACCCCGGCTGGCAGCTCACCTCCACCGAACTGCTTGTCTGGTTGGAAAGCGTGCAGTTTCGAACAGGAAACGGCTTTCCTGCTCGACAAGCAATGAGTTTAGGCCCGAAACTTTGCGTCTTACCTATACTACTGCATAATTACAATACAAAACGGAAATATTTACATCAAAATGTTCCAGGGTACGCAGCCTAATGGCTGGAACATTACCTCCAAAGCCCCTCCAAGTCGTAAAACAGTGGTAGGAATGCGCTGAAAATAACAGACTGTCAGGAAATTCAGCGATAGGATTGGCTCGCGCACCTCAGTTTACGAACAATGAATTTGAAAGCAGCGTCTCCTGTGTGGGTATCTCTTCAGTGGAAAAGTTTGTCTTGCTGGGATATTGATACAGACTGACAATAGATTGGCTGAGGGAAGTTACCTGATTATAGTACAAAGAGGTTGGAGGTTACTGTCAGGTTATCTCTGTGAGAGTCGGACAGAACACAGAAGCCTCATCAAGAGACTGGTTTTAGAAGTTTTTGGAAATCAATGTAGCAGAAAAATGTGTAACCTACTAAACAACGAACGGATCAACTATCGATCGATCGAGTAGTACACCGCCAGTACCAAATTTCGATATTGGAGTCGATTCTGAGCCAATTCTATCCACCTGTATCTAAGATACGTTTAAATGCCATTCAATATAATTCTTGAACTTACAAGTGACAATTATTCAAGAAGTTTCTACCGAAATTCTGTATATGTCATTGGTCTACGTCGCATGAAACGGGCAACCAGTGGCCCGCAGTCGCTTTATATCAGACTCCAGTCGGTCTACCTCTTCCATGCTTCGATTTCCTTTAGACACCAAGTTTCACGCCTATACAAAAATGGGGTAAAATAATGAGATAAAAATTTAATCAAACAATTATCCAAGTGGGATATATTTTCTTGTGATAGATTTACGAGGTCGTAGGTCAATCCTTTCCATGACATACACGAGATATCTAGCTTATTAAGATTATAGTGTTTCTGGATCAGATCTATTGTCAGATCAATGGAAAAAAGTAGTCTTGCATCCCTCAACATTTAAAATCCTACACTGGATCAGATCTATTGTCAGATCAATGAAAAAAAGTAGTCTCGCATCCCTCAACATTTAAAATCCTACCGTTCCTGGTCTCTGCACGTTAGAAAATGCAAGTCATCCAGGAGATATACGTATAAAAGGAGAATACGTTTCTGTAAGCAAAAATGAAGGAAATCGGCAATGACGTAGCAGGTTATTACACACGACTGTCATGCAGAATGTAGCTCTATTTTCCGGTGATTTACTGTTATGTTATCGTATGTATCTTACCGTCACAATATTATCACAAAGTAGGTCAACCAATCTACAGAGAGTCTTCATGAATCAACGATTTCAAAGATCTATCTTTTTTTCTCCTTAAATGGACAGATTGCACTTTGGCTTACTGACGGTTTCCTGGCCGCACAGTGTGGGAATTCCCGGGGCGGAGTGTAGGAGCAAGAGTGTGTTCAACTGAAAACAAGTCATGATTGGAAGCCTTCATCTGGGAGAACAAAACAAAAACATTTCAGAAACAACGTGGATCGATGCTTGAACATAAAAAGACTTCGGGCTGAATTCAGTTGCCACGCTACAATCTCAGCCTCCTCATGTTATATCTAAGAGATAAAATCCTTTTGTCTCGCCAGTTCTCTCAGTTTCTCTCCGATCTGAGACCATTTATAGTGGGCAAAGAAGTCATTATGCTATATAATACTAAAAATTGCCACAGTAATTTTATTTATACGTTTTGTTTGCATACATACAAGAAGTCAAATGAAATTGAGCCAACGTGATTTTGTATAGAACAGTGACATATTTAGAAGTAATCTCCAACAGAGTTAAGGCATTTATCCCATTGTCATTGTCTACAGAGTCCTTGTCTAAATATCGCGACACTTGGTGTAAAGTATTCACCACCACCTTCTCATCCAACTGTAGTAATACAGCTGTAGGTATCACCATTGACATTACAACCTACTGCAAGTCTTAGCAAGCTAATTTTTTACGTTCATATACTTTATTATACACTAATATCCTATAGATATGCAAAGTATCTTCGTATGTGTTTCTGCATGTATCTAACTGCATGGAGCAGAGCCTCGAGTTCACACTCTTACGCGCTATTTATTGAAAATGTTTTTAAACCACTAGTTCGAAGTCTTCACAGAAAACCATTAACTTCTATGACGAAAAATGTTCGATGTTCAACTCGAATTATTTGTTATACGTTTATTTATCTGTATTACGTTGCAAATCAAATGTGTGAGGAATTTTAAACGATTGGGAGAATTTTGTTTCTGTTAATCTGTGAAAAAAAACACCAAGCTGAAACCCAAGTAATTCTGACGTACGGGAATCCATTTTGTTGCGACGTGAAAGCAAAATGGCAGAGCACATTTAGTGACTTTTTCATACGCTGTAAAAAAAATCGCGGAGAGTAAGCTGTTCGGTGCCCACCTGTCCATGACAGGTTCGCAGAATGACATTTAGCACTCGACGGTGATCATGAGTTTATTTTTGAGTGTCTCGATTTCTCGACCTCTCCTAAGGCCAATGCGCAACACTAGCCAATTCCATTATAGTAAATTGCTTTCCGTTAACGATCCATTTCATTTTCTCCCAAGACACGTGTTGGTCCTTCCATGTGAGTGATACTTCACGGGACAGAGTTATGTCTCCACAGAACCACGTCAACACTAACAGAATTTCCACCGAAAACCTGTCAGTCGCTCGACTGATTAAGAAACAACTTTTTATGCTGAACTTCATCAGGGCGATGAGTAATAATGACAGACTTAGTAAGCACCTCTGAAACGTCGGTTTACTTCTTCTATGATACTGCACGACACAACATCCCAGTATTAATTTAACTTCAGTCTGTAAATTTATACGGGAACAGGTCCTATTTATTGTAGGAACTAAAGGAAATACAGAATATAGGCGTGAGAGAACTGAACGTTAAAGTAGACGGTACACCTCGTTACCGCTATGGTGTAAAGATTTCAACTAAATATGATTGGTACCAACATTACTTAAATGCCGTAAGAAAGTAATAATAAGTAATATAAAATATTTGTTGTGTCTGCTATCCAAAGCGGATTAACAGTTTGGGAGCTGTGAAGCAGGAGATCTAGTACATAGAAGGTTATCTGCAAAAGACAACCGAGCCCTTTCATCTGCCTTGAATCCCAAGTACCCAGATTTTTAATTACGTCTTTATTGCAGCAAAGATATTACGCTTAATTCACGATGAAGCAGACCAAGGGGACAAGTCAAAAGGATGTTTGCAGTCTTACTTTAAAATACGTCTGAATTCTGGAAACATCCGGGAGGGTACAGAAGCTAAGGGTTGATTAATATTATAGTCTCCGTTGAAATTAACATTACGCATGAATTTAATTCTAACTTGTCTCAGTTGTGAGGAAAAGTTCATTTTATTATATCCACATCTGTATCACTTTGAGGAAACACAAAATAAAACATTACGAGACTCCAAGCGTAATACCGGGCAATAAAATTTAGGCCCACAAAAGTATTCGTGCTGTGTGTGTGGGATTAAAATTCTTCTGGACGAATCAGAAGTGAAGACCCAGCTGAGTGCAAACTCCAAGGTATCGGATATTCCTTGCAAATTTATAGTTCCCTCAGCCGGTAAAAGAGTTCTCTGCCTTTCATGAAGGCCGAACTTTCATTATCGGATTCATAAAAACTCTACTGGACCTTATCATAAACCAATTAAAGTCAGACCACACCTTCGCACACAATAACTTTAAAGATTTGTGTTAATATTAATCACCATCTACGCCTAGACCTCACAAGAGCTTTTTCCTTTCAAACTGTCAGACTAAAATTATGCTGAATGTCCTGCCCATCTCGTTATTTAATCAGTCTGTCAATAATTATTCGCCTGTTCCGTTCTCTCGCTTGGGTACGTATCGTCTTCAGCAACTCCTCGGACAAGATGGACCCTCAGAATGTCTGGCAGATGAGAGAAAGCGACAAAGAAAGTTCGAAAATGTAAAACATACAAAGGAACAAAAGATGATGATTGGAAAGGGAAGAGGTTAAGAATGAAGGGAAAGAAAAGAGACAACGAAGGGTGAAACACGGGAAGGAGGAATGTAGCAAAGGAAGAAAGAATGAAGGAAATACGGAAACACAAAAAATCATGCAAGGAAATAAAGAATAAGGAAATTAAATGAAGACGAAAGAAGAGATGCATAAAGCAGATAACCAATAGTAGTTCTGATGACTGTTCAGGATATTTCCTTTCTTTACATAAGATTTGCCGAGCTTCATATAGGAGCTAGGAGCTGAACGTATTTTCCTTTTAAAAGCGGTCGTAAAGCAAATGATGTAAGAAGACTACATTCCCTAATACCTGAGGATTAAGCGATAATTACTCTGCAGTCAGTATTAATTAGGAGATTCTTTTCATCCTAGAGCTCTAAATGCGTGAGAGGATTACGATAACGCTCTGGGTGGCGTACTTACACTTCCTTCAATGAGCCTTAAATTAATATTAACCCCGGTACATTAACCGTTCGCCCTCACCTCATGTTTGCGCTCATTCGCCTTCTGACAGCTGCAACCGCAAAGAACCGTCACAGTTCGAACTGCGGCGCGCGGTGTGTTCTGTTGGATTAGCACTCTGTTTACGACGTTTCAGATGTGCTTATTGCTTCCTTCATCAAGGCGATTGAATTACAAACCTATTTAAACACCATGAATTATGGAGGAACAGAAACTCTTATTATCCTTCGGAACCTTGAATCGAGTAGTTGTCAGTCCATGGGAAAAAAGTTATCGACAAGCCAACTTCTCTCCATAAAGCTGAAGGCTTGGCTCTCCGTATTTTGTTTCCAGGCGGAAAGTTGTGCGTTCAAGACTCATCTCTTTAAAAACAACTTTCGATAACCTGATTAAAATGTAATCTTCCGAGCGAAGAAAAGTTCAGCAGAATAGATTTCTTCACTACAGCTCCATCTAATCAAGTTTATATCCACGCAGAGTTTTACTCTAATTAATGTATCCAATCGCAATGAATGAACAAATGTCTTTCCAACAACAATAAAATTACTTTCATATATTTCAGAACTGGCAGGACCGATGTTTAGGATCATTCGAAACTTCACCAACAGATGGAGCAAATGTTGCATAACTGTGGAAGCGTTTCGGGCCTTGGGGCACAATGGATTGTTAAACACCTTAATTAACTTAAACACTACCATGCACAATACAGATTGATATATCAGGCAGCCTGGGAATGAATTTCATGCTATAACCTTCTAGATATTCAGATATTCTGTTCAGAATCAAGCCAGATCCAATCCGAAATTGGTAGCGCGAGTTCTTTCAAAATGGACTTGCCGGTATGGATTGTGTTTACAGAAAACCGCCTCGAAACCAGTTTTCATACTTAGTCAAAGAGTTAGAAACTCTTCTGGAGTTTAACATTAGTCTGAGCCCAATGACTGTGAAATTCGTAAAAAATAAATCGCACAGGATGCCAACATTACAGGCGATGTAGAAGGCCAATAGGAATGAACACACCGTTTTAATTACGAGAAAACAATGGCGTTCGCCAAATACCCTTTTCGGCGTAGGTCGATAATACAAGGTCATGCGAGTAGGCAAAATTCGACAAACGATCTACCCTAGTAACCATGGCAACGTAAGTAACTAGCCAACTAACTTACTCCATGCAGTGGAGAGTCCTTAATGAGAATATGACAGAGAAGAATTCCATGAATTGTATTCATTACAGACATAATTCCCACGTTATAATCTCAATTTACATTGCATGAATATTTGTGTTCATAAGGGCATGATACTATAAAATTAAAATTTTCAAAATCACCAATGAGGCGTATTTCTTCAACGTCTCCATTTAAAACTTCAAGAAAAATACATAATGCAGTCAATGTAGTAGAAAAATTTTTCACATATTTTACGAGAAAGCACGTTAACAACACACTACTGAAGTTCAGAACTAGAATAAACATTATTTAAAAATTTAATAAAGTAACACAACCCCGTTACAAGTCACAGCTGGTAAATATTGAGGGAGAAAAATAATTGTTTACTGTGAGAACCATTCGGTTACATAAAAATGTCGAGTTATTGAACGTTCAAGAAACGTTCAAACTGCAATCGGTCTTTGAGTTAACACGTGCGTTATTGGTTCATCTTATCATACCAACGACAGCGCAGTGCATACAATGATTACTATAAATTTCATACGAGTCCTAGAGTAACCACACAGTTGTCCAAATTTGACAGGAATCATTCCCAAACCGCCTAAAGGGGAAGATGAGACAGCGTCAGAATTGAAGCTCTATATATTCATCAATTAAATTACGAAAGAACTACATTTTAGAATCATAATTATAATATCGAAGCGTCACACTTCATTATAACAGGCCACAATCGCTTCTTTTCACATTTATTTTTATTCAGAATACATTAATTAAAAAAACATGCTTATTTCTTACTTTACTTGGTTACTGAATCAGTGGCAATGACCTTGAATTTTAAACAAATCCCAACCAACCCAGTAATGCGAATTGACGGAATTAACATTTCAGATTCCCGGCGACGAGTATGGATGTGACGGCCTTCTTGGATGTTCCCCGACGTTTCAGGCGTGCTTGCTGCGTCCATCATCAGAACGATGATGATGAAGGCAGCGAGCACCTGTAAAACGTCGAGAAATTTCCACTATAATACACGGTGCGACATCCATGAAGGCAGTTATAATTTGCCCACCCTTAGACAGAGGTCAGCTTGCCTAAAAGTTAAAAAGAGCTTCAGTGCTGCCAACTCTCCGCATCCCCAATTTACAGAGACAAAATAGAAGCAGTGAACAGTGCCGCAGCGGGCAGACATTTTACCTGCAGCAACTACCTGAAAGACACAGGGCGAGATCTGGGGCCCTATTGCGTTCTGGGCCCAGCAAGACAGAGTGCCATAGTCCAGTTCCGACACCGGCGTGTACCTCAGGATACTCATAGTGCCGTTGCTAGTGGCGGCAAACCTCTCCGGAGAAACCTCGAGCGTCTCCCCTGAGTTGTTGAACTTCCACTTGAAGCTTCGGGCTGGAGGATCAGTTTCAACCTCGCATGCAATGTCCAGGCTTTCTGCTCTGGACGCTCCTACCACTAGAATGCGTTCCTGGCGGCAAGTAGGGGCGTCTGAAACACAGCAGCGGTGACGAAGCAGACGTCGTTTAGACTGGTTGGCGGTTACATACGAATTGTGTAATCTCAGTACGTAAAACAGCGTTTGAGAACCACCGATACAGGACCAAACCCATTTTTAATTTATATAAAAGTTCGTTCTGGATCCTGCTCCTTATATATTAATATTTCCACACGTTTCCAGTGACAATCGCATAAATTTGATTGGGCAGTGGGGTTTAGTGAAATTACCCACCGTCATTTGGGAAATTTAAACCAGTCTTCAGTAATGACAATTGGTGTTGGTAATTACTGTTAGCAGTCCTTGTATAAAATCTGAAATTTTTAAGAAATTAATCTTAGATCACATATCCTCTACTTAAATTGAAAGAAACAAGGTGAACACTATAACATCTCTGTCATCAAAAGTGTTACAAGTGATGAGCATTGCTGGACTGTGGAGGAACAACTTTTCAGCTCCTGTAGACTCGTCCTGTAGACGCTAAGGGTAAGTCACAGGCTAAAAAGCAGTAGGTGAGTGAGCTAAAAGGGGGGTGTCCGCAGACCAAACTCAACCAACTCCTTCCAGGATTATTCTCTGGCCACAACTAATTGCCTTCCATCGCCCTCCATTTAAAAGGCTCTGCACGTAAACAAGAACAACTTGAAGTAGTTGTCCGAGTCGCAGTCTTATGCATGTCGGTGTGAATGTAAACCAAGGGTTGACCACGGGGTTTCTACGTTGGAGGGAACTAATGCTCTTCGTGGCTTTGCAAGTTGTCCCACAGCTGTGCAGACGTGGCCATTAACGTAATCAGCTTACACGCCGCTCACTCTGATGTATTATTATAGATTCTGTCTCCGGAAGCTCTGATGAGACTCGCTGAGAATTGGTAACAGAGTAACGGAATGGAGACACAAAGTTGTCGAACCTTCAATTATTCTCGCCAGAAATCTGTCTCTGTCTGAGCGATTTCTGTGAATGGCTTTCAAGTTATAAAGCAACGTTTCCACTCTGCATTACAAGTCTCAGATAGATAACTCAACCAGTTAACTTGCTCGCATCTACCTCGACTTTGTTAATGTTACGGAATCTGACACATCTCCAACAGGAAATCGAAAGGAACGGCTTTAGACCGTCCTGTCCACACAAGTGCTTTATTCCAGAGCAAGTTTAGAAGTTGATTTTGAGGTTATTTAACAATTATGTTTCAGAGGCACGCGTTATTATAAAAGTAAAAAAAAAATCAAAGAGTGTATTTTGAATGCTGAGGAAAACATTTGGAACTGAGAACTGGCATCACTATCTTGACGTGTAGTTTCTATTTATACAACGTGTCACACATATCTTGTCTATGTATCGTACAGGTTACGAGCCATAAAGAGCAAATATGGCTGACAAGAGAAGGCGCCATAACAGAGTTCCACTTGTCTGAGCGTCGTTACTGTTGTGAAGCAGCGTCCATGACGAAGTCATTGCGAATTCACAGCGCGCCTTTGCCCTGGTTCAGCGAGTCGCAATTTCAGCCCCGATGTCCGTTGCGCCGCACTGTATTGAGTTAGTTTGGGGGTTGGGGGGGTTGGAGGGTGGGGAATGACTCGCGTACTGTTATCCGGACAGAATTTGTTTTCACTGCCTCTGGCAAACTCGCAAAACAAAAATTCGTCTACCAGCCAGATCTGCAGGTAATTACAGATGTTTTGTACCTGTCTCGCGGTTCAGTGCTGTGTAACAACCAATAAAGCACTGAACAGTCCGATAAAAAAGTTCCGACAACTTCTGCCTACTAGGAAACTGGCGTATTATTTGGCTGTCTCCGTTTTATCTAACCTTTTACTTTTATTCAGATACAGACATTAGGTTTCTGAGATCCTAACTGAAAACAGACCACCAACGCTCGCTAATATCTGCTTCGACTCAGCTTTCATTATCAAAATTTACAATTATGCGCCACAAAGTATCTGCTTGTTACACATACATAAAAGCACACAAAGACCTACTTTCATACACAGATTCAAATAAACATACGTACCTACACATAAAATAGCTCACAGACAGACAGATACATATGGAAACACATACAGAGAGATACGTGGATGAATAGATAGATAAGTAGGTAGACAAGGAGATAGATGGACGGACGGATGGAGAGAGAGAGAGAGATATATAGGCAAACAAGGACATGCAGGACCAGATGTTTGTTTTTGTCAGTACGAAGAGGTGGAGATTTGCCGAGGCGAGTGGACCGAGGAACTAATGACCCAGTTCCTCGTCGATCACTGTCTCTCCGTTCTCCGGTGAGACAGATCGCCTGGTGGACTGACCGCACCCTGTTTTATTAACCTCCCTTCACAAGAAATTCCGTCTGTAACTGTCTTTGCTCCGATTTATGAATACTGGCCGAGTTTCGCGATAGTGGAGTCTACCCGCTCGCCACTGTGGCAGCAGAACGACTGCTTGTGGCGAAGAACTCACTCGACGTTGAAGTCGTCGCGTCATGCTGAATGCTGCCCTAAAACGATGCCCCTTACTAAAAATGTTCCCGCTGTCCGAACATCCGCATATTTGATACTATAAGCGCGTTAGAACTGATCCATAAACTATTTAATACTAAATATAGAAGAATGTGACAAAGCACTAGAAAGTTAGAAATATAGTTGACATTTCTATACTGCGCGTTCCCAGATGGGAATTTCTGTTTCAAAGTAGATTCTCCCCTGAGAGAGACAGAATTTACCTTTTGCCACGCACAACCCAGTAGAGTTAAATTTTCCTTGCACAGTCTAACGTACTGACATATAAACGTTGTGTCTGCCATAAAGTCAGGTTATAATATCTGTTCCTTCATACAGATCGCGATTAGTAACATAATTATTTGTTTACATTCACCGAAGTAAAACTTCTAACTTAACTTCCTGTTAAACTTCTGATTTTATTGTATTAGTACACGAGGCATGTTGGCTGTATTTTTAATATGTTTTGGATTCCGTTAGAATAGGGTATGAATGATAGAAGAGGGTGTAAGAAAGAAGACAGAAGAAAGAGAAAATGGATTATATCCGTAACCCACAGACTTTCCACCCAAAGATCGGCTTCAGTGCTCGGTCAGTTAATGATTTACGAAACTGCATCAAAGCAAGTTTCCTCGTTCTATGTTATTTCAGGTCTGAAAATTATTATCAACCACGGCAATTGCTACAACAAAGTACAAGCAGACAAACAGAGAGTAAGGCATTGTGGTGTTAATTACTTACATTTGACCCTGAAGGCGAGTTCGTTGCTGACCGTCTCGCCCTCTGGATTGGTGGCAACGCATACGTAATTGCCTGCACTTTGCCGGGTCACTTTCTGCAGCACGAGGGACTGGTTGCTGCGAATAATACGTGCGGACTGGTTGTGGCTGAGCAGCACACCCTGTAACAGTACGATTGGGAGACCTTCCTTAAGTCTCTGGTCACATGACCACTGACAATATCAAGTTACAAACTGACTTGTTATCAGATTTCTAGTTTTGCAGGAAACGAACTTATCTATGGTCAAGATGTGGCGAAACAGAATTACTGTCAATCCCCCTGTACATTGCCCGAAGGATTGGGAGAAACAGGTGAAGAGGGCTGATATGACTGACGGATCACGAAGAGGCAAACTCGATGAGACTGGAAATCAGAACCCCAGAGACAAGCAATAGAACGAATAAGAAAGGCAGGCTAATACTTAATGGCATAATAAGACAGTTGCTGAACACCGATTATAAAGCAAAATTTCAAGAATCAAATGCTCACTGCTGAAGACTTCATAAAAATCATTTGTTCCAAATGGCACATTGAAGATAAAAACAGGAAAATTAAAATGTTTTTTTCTTACACGCCCTCTCCATAACCAGCATAAGTCAAAGTAATCACTTTCCATACAGTGATCCGAACCCACGACCTGCCGAATTCAAAGCACGAGTGCTAACAACCGTTGACACCGGTAATTCGAAAGTTTTAATGGCGAGGGCTTGAACTGTGTAGCGTCCCGCAGCCTTGCGTGGGCTTCGGCGCAGACAGTGACAGACGGAGCCTGGCTTGTTTCAGGTCCAATTTACATCGCCTCGCTGTCGGGTTTACGTGCAGCGCTTCTGAAAGCCCTCAACAGTGGGCGAGATCTGCGGGCGCGTTCAGTAGCTTCGTGCGAGGAACACATTTAGCTCTTGCGTCTTAAAACTGATCAGAAATAAAACCACTCAAATACCACGTTATACAAAAGGAGAGAAACAATTTACAATGAGGCGATTCGGCACAGGATCATTCTTCTTTGTGATTTCCATTTGAATTTTACAGCCGTCATATCTGTTACAGAACAGAGCGAAAGACAGGAGAGAAATGGATAAAAATGAAGTAGGATTTGAGGTTTTCACAAAGATGGATATCTTCTGGGTTGTGCCACACTACACGGCGCTACAAACCCAGACGATAGTCAAAACAAAAATAATAATGTAAATGCGGCCGAACCCGGTATCTCCCGAATACAACGCAAGAACTACGACCATGGCACGATGACGTCACAAGTTTCATTCCCCGACAAGCCTTACTATCATCTGGGTGAGGAGAAAGTTCTAACAAGCGGGCCAGGTGAAGTTACGTCATCAGGAGTAAGTGTGTACCGCGTGAAGCTTTGACAAGGCTCATTACCAATAACGAGGCCTTGTAATAAAGCGGCACTTTGCGGTATATAACCTGTAAATAATTGAGATGTCGATATGTGTAGGGGGTGAAAGGGGTGACAGCTGGAATATAAGGGTGTGGGGGTGTGTTCGTGTTAACAACGAGTCGTAAACATACAGACTGAAGCAATAACAAGCTCCCACACCCTCGTGACTACCACAGGATTGTCTAAACTGAAGATCGCTGCAGCACTGTTTACGCGCGGACTGATTTAATATCTGCAAGGGTTAAACGGTCCCTTCGAGACAGTAAAGAAATACAGCCCCACAGTTAACATGTGTTAGGAGAGAGAAAACACGGGTTATGCTGCTTTAAAACGAGCATTTCCACATAGCAAATGACCACGTTAGGTTTGATTGAACTGGCGAAAGCAATCCGTGAACCGTTGCATTTTGCCTCGAATGCAGACGAAGATTTATGAGTAAACGTTGCTGGGAAGCTTAGGATAATTACATCGTCTACCTACACACAACCCACCTTTCAACAGATTGTATTTTCCAATGAAAGGATAAATTAATTGCGCAATAAATATGTGTAATCTTGAAGACAATGACTTCTACGATGTAGCGCCGTGTAGTCTGGTACAAGCTTACCGACGTTTCAGAGGTGACTGTTGTTTCCATACTCGCCCTGATGATGGAGTCACGTGAAATTTTGTACTGATATAGGTCATACACATAACTACAATTTTAAATTAATTTTTTAACGTTAGTAGTTACAAACCGGTATATGGTGCATAATTTTTAGGTGGTAGCTAGAAAATTTAACAAAATAGAAATTTGTACTAGTGGAAATTACATAGCCTCCAAAAGTGAATCATTAGACTGCATATGGTAATTACCATTTTATAATTCTCGCTAGACACAATGTAGATTAAAACATATAAAGGAAACTAGACATCATAGGTTTCCCAGAACGTATTGTAAAATTAACAGTACAGAGGTTTAGACCTATGTTTCATTTTATCTAATGGACATTCGATGGGATTTCTTGTACAAGAGGTGGTTTCACATCAACCGGAACTAGATATAAAGTCAAAAGCCACGGAAATTCCATTCACAGAACCGGATTTTGATATGTGACGCAGGTGTCTGGAGGTCTTATAATGTGGGCCACAGAGTTCCGCCCAATGAAACTAGACCAGATGGGAAAAGAAACATCGGTAAAAGTACAAGACGGTGGAGTTACAAGTTACCTAAAAACTCTCTCCTCGGTTCTGATGGTAACGAGCTTAACTCATTTTCCAAGGCAGTGCATGATTTTACGAAGGCCAAACAGAGCAAACCGCTTTGAGTTCGAAAATACATTCAAGTCTAATCACCGTAATTAGATTCATCATGAACTTTATAATAAATAATATTTTACACGAGAAACTCGCTCAAAGGAGTACGTATCTTTAATGAACACAGTGCATTAACGACACCACACAGTCATTAATTTTATCTAAAAGTTTTACAAACTTTCAGAACCTACAGTGAAGTGCTAAAGTTGTAGGCTAATTTGAAATATACATTGTAAACGGCTTGGACATTAAACTCAGACTTTACGACTTAGACTTTTCTTGTTTCGCAATTCACTCAGAAACGAATTAAACGAGAACTGTCTCCACACTTTTCTTCACTGTCCTACTGAGACACGAATATTACCTGCTACAATTCTATTTTGCTATGACTGGTTACGTATTAGTTTCCGTCTCGTTCAAATATTCTCTTAGCTAATACTAATACAAATAAAGACCTCACCTTAACCGTAAACAGCTAACTTAGAGTGCAAGGAATGATTCGGAGCGATTTCTCCAACGAGAAGCATAGAAAACTGGCAGTTTGACTAAACCGCCCCTGGAAATGAAAGGTCTGGGCGGCTATAATGTTGCTGTCACACAGTCAATTAAGGCCATTCACTCGCCCCAGGAACGTCATCTGATTCAAACAATGACCAAGTACAAAGGCGTTCTGGTCTGTCAGTCCCAGATCGACTATCGCTCCGAATATTACGCAATTTGGTATCGATTCTTACAAACGACTCCCACGAATCTAATTATTATATCAAGGTACAGATCGAATTATGTTGTTAAGCTGTGAGGTTACGCTGTGGTGGATCAAACAAGTAATGTATAAACTTTTCGTTGATAAACCTCTTGGAGAAAAAGAAAGAAATAATTAAAAATAGTAGTCAAGAAGACATATAGTCACTGAGACGAAACAATTAGTAGCCTGTAGCGTATTAATAAAAAGAATGACATAATTAATTTAAATTATTTCATCAGGGCCAGGAATTCAGGCTTCTAATAACAGATTTCTCGTTCACAAGCATGAATCCTTCTAGTCTTAACTTCTTATTTTGTGGATAACTTTAGTACCATTTATTAACAGCTGAAATCATTATTATTTTTTCAATACTATGTTCGTAAGGAAACAGTAGCAAAAGATTGTTTCATCGAAGAAAAACCAACATGCAAACGATTAAGGATCGGTTGTAGAGTTCGTACAGGAAGTTAAAAAACTCTGATAGAAAGTTTAGTTTAGATACAAAACGTTCAATCGACAAATCTCGAAACTGCCAGTGTTTGCAGCTCATTTCCTCAACTGCCTGACTCCATGGAACTTTTGTCAGTTCCATTCCGTACCTAATCGAATTGTAGATCTGTTTCTGACTACAACACAAACCCCGTCTACGCTACCCGGAGCTTAAACTTCTCCATATTTGTCGTAGAATGAACAAGCTCAACATTTCCACCATCTGGTGCCACATCACAAACTGTTCAGGTATAAAAATGGGGCTTTGCCACAAAGTTACGGATGACAGTACAGATGTTGTTAGCTGCAGCGCTAAACAGATCACAAACTGTTCGCCTTGTTCCTTGCTGCATTTATCGTCCCAGTATGAGTACAGCGATTAACACATCAGAAAACAAATTCAAAGCCAACTATCTCAAGCACTTAAAATCGTACAGCAAGCTCTGTTTAAACGTATCATCAACTCGTGTGGCAAGTACATTGTCATGCTGCTACAAATTGGGGGAACATGAAAAGACGCGGTGTAGTATAGTACAGCTTCCTGTACATGGCCGTTGTCAAATGAATGGGTACAGGATTTGGATGAATCTATTTAAATAACATATAAAGCGCGAATGTGGATTAAGAACTGTAAATTAGTTATTTAGTTGCAATGTTATAGATGTCCTTATATTTCTGCAGACAAAACGTAAAACCACCTCAACGACCACTTTTAAAAAGTTTCTCATTACTCGCAATCAAGTGACAATGACTGAAACGTCGGACAGTACAAAAAGCTTATGCCTTAATTCTGTTGTGTCCATATTAACAACACTGGGCAGAAACAAACCACACAAATTAGCGCGCTCTCGACGAAAGAGTTTACGTGAACCATTTAAATCACTAAAGTCATATAAATATTACTGAAATAATATTCTAACATAAATAATAAAAACAACGCTTCTAACATTACATAGATCAGGTCGATAACGCTGTTTAGGGGAAACAGTTGACATTTTCCTGAAAATCCCGACCCATGGCAGGGATTAGACCCTGGTCGTCCGGCCCTTAACCAGTCTCTGCACTGATTGGACTCATAAGTAAGAGACCATGAAATTGTTTATGTAATTTTCAATCGTTTGATACGAAACAAAATTGCATCATTTTTTGAGAAAAATTTGTTACGAGTTGTAAGTATGATGACGGACTAACT